GTTTGTTCCTTGTTGTTGTTGTTGTTTCCGGGGGTGTGTTTCGTTCTCCCTTCAAAGCTCAGCGATTGTGTTTCCAATCTCTTCTGAGCAAAAGGGAATTTCTTGGAACAGGCGGTCACGCTCTATAACCCAAAACACAACATCCCAAAACACGAGCCGCGAGCCCTGCGTAACCCCCTGTAACCCTAAACCCTGAAGTCCTAAGCTCAGACCTTAATGCCCAAAACCCGAAGACCCTAAACCTAAATCCCACAAAATGGCCAAATCATCTGTTGCCCTCCAGGCGAAAAACCGAGGGGCATCCGCGCAGGTGCGACAAAGATAGCTTTCCGCAGCCATGTAACAGGCTTGCTATCTTAAAACCATGCGCATGCATAGTTTCCGAAAAAACCCTCGTTTGGATTCCATAGGTAGGAAATAGGCACTATAGGACACTAAGATTTGCAGGTTTGACGGCCGAGAATTTGAGGATTGATAAATAATTCAGGTTTCAGGGTTCTCGATTCTAGCGTGTGTGGGAGCCTCTGAGTCATCAAGGCTCTTCTCTTCTCAAGGAGCTATAATAGGAAGCTGTGACAGGGAATTCCCGAGAAGAAGGGTTGTCTAGGGTCCGGGTAAGCCCTCAGCCTTGAACTCCTGGATCCCCACTGCAAGGCTGCAAAAGCCCTCGGAGAAGAATCCGATAATGCGGGGTTTAGCTGATTTGACATGGGAGTAGATAGAAAGCGTCACCGCTATACCCATCACGCAAGTGAGACACGCCGTATGCATCTACTGAAACCCTCGGCCCCGAAAGCCCCCATAGCAATAAACCCCTTACATACCTCGTATTCAAGATGGAGCTTTCCGCTACGTGGCGGAACGAAGGCGTCCTACTGCTGACGTTTTTTGTTGTTCGTGCTTGTGGAGGGTCGTCCAAAGTTTTGTTCCGCATGGGGGACGGCAGACTATCTGGGCTTGGTTAGGCTTGTTCGGTTTGTGCTCCTGTAGATGAGATTGTGTTTCAAGCCTAGGCTCAGAAGACGTAACCGGGCAGTTTGAATCGCAGCATGGTTCTGGGTTACTACTGCATGATGCTTTTCTTCCATGTGTCCCAACAGTGGATGCCGGAAACTCCAACTTTCACCCGCCCTCACAGCCGAGAAAAAGTGTTCTGGATCGACGTAGCACGCTTGATAGAATTCAGGTGTCAATTTCTTGCCTGGTAGACTTTGGTCCCTAACTCGGAAGGAGCTGATTACTAGATCCAGGCCCTGAAACCTAAGCCCGCGACCCACAAGAGTAACATCTCTCGTGCCATGTCAGGAAGAGGCCGCCCCTTCCGAGGCCCAGTGTAGACAGCACTCTCTCGTGTGTATGTGTGTGTGTGTGTGTTGGGCTTACCCTTAACCCTCCACTCTAAACCCTAAGCTGTACCTCCATCTGGTTTATGGTTTCTAGTCGATCAGAGGCTGGTGCCATGGGCGCAGGACTTAAAGCAGTTACACTTAGGTTTGGGTTTCACATTTCCCACAAGACGTAGGCTTGAGTGTGCGGCAACTATCAGAGTCTGTTCATATGGTGTTGGAATGAGGCAAAGGGCCAGATTGGTGTTTGAGATATGGGGCTGTGGCTTTGGAGTTTTAGGATTGATAGGGTCACGCTTAACCGGCTTCAATGAGTTCGCAGTCTGGGCAGTGGGTTGTACACGAACATTGCTCCAACTCATAACAAAGTTTATCGGACAGATTGTACGTAGTACGACACGGCCAGCATCAGATATCGTAGTTAGATTGATGGATGGATGGATGGATAGTTAGGTGGGCAGGTAGGTAGGTAGGTAGGTAGGTAGGTAGGTAGGTAGGTAGGTAGATCGATAGGCAGATAGATGCACAGATCGACAGATAGACAGTTACATAAGTAGATAGACTGATAGAGGAACGGATGTAGAGGTGTTTAGATGGGAAAGATAGATAGCGGGATAGACACGTCAATGAATCGATAGATCGTCAGACAGGCAGATGCAAAGAAAGAGAAGCAGATTGATTGATAGAAAGGTACATTAAATTGATGACTGGATACATCGAGAGAGACAGACAGACAGACAGACAGACAGACGGACAGACAGACAGACAGACAGACAGACAGACAGACAGACAGACAGACAGACAGACAGACAGACAGACAGACAGACAGACAGGTAAATAGCTCGACAGATAGATAGATGGATAGATGTATGAATAGGTAGATAGATAGATAGATAGATAGATAGATAGATAGGTAGATAGATAGATAGATAGATAGATAGAGCTTGACATAATAATGATAGTTATACTCACATACATACATGCATACATACATACATACATACATACATACATACATACATATACATATGTGTGTATGTATGTACGTATGTATGTGTGTGTATATATATATATAATATAGATGCATGGATGTATGCATGTACATTTATGTTGATGGAGGACGAGCGCAAGACCTCAGATGCGACAGAGGCATCTGCTTACCCCGGGGTCATCTCATTGGCTGCCATAGGTTATGCACACGCTTTTATACTACGTTGGTCCCTGATGAGGACTCCTTACTGCAGTGTGGTGTAATTTCTTACCCCCAAAGCCCAATTCTGAGCGTTAAGGTCCCAATTAGTCGCAGGCTCTTGGTTTAATCCATCCTGAACCCGGTCAGCCTCAGAGCCCTGTAAGCCCCATCAGTCGGGTTAGGCAGTACGGTTGTGAAGATTTCGGTCTTCGCACTTGGCAAGGCAGCTGCCAAGCCGAAGGCAAAGCCCAAGGCCAAAAGTGGGGCCGAGGCCGACTTCAATGAGTGGTGCAGTGGGGGACGTTGGGTTTTGGTGAGTTTGGGCATGAGGGTTTCGGAGATTCGGTGGCACGATTTCCCGTCGTCATCGCCGCGCCACCGGCTACCATAATCCCAATCGCCAACATCATCAACAAGGACAGCAGCAATAGTAACAGCAACAATAGCAATAACACATAACTCATCAACATCAATGCCAACGGCAGCAACGACAACGACAGCACAGCCGCAAGCCTGACAACAGCAACAGCAGCAGCAGCCTCGACAATAGCCACGTTAGTACGAACACAACCAACGACAACATTACCGATGATTCCAACACCGGCAACAACGACAATAGCGACAACTTCGACAAAGACGACGACAACAGCAAAGTCACCGACAGTGTTCATTGTGGCAGCAGGAGTTCCGAATCGTGCAATGCATCGTGCTCACGCTTTCCACACCAGACCCATCTACCTCAAACTCCCACAGCCCCCCAACCCTAAAAGCCTTTAGCTTAATTGATTAAAGCCTTCAGCCCTGAACCGTAAGCTCGTAAGCTTATTGGCCAAAGCTCTAGCCCAAGGACCCGAAGCTCAACCCTTACAGGGCCCACAATGCCTAAACCTCAAACCCTAGGCATTGTTATCAGCATGAGGCAGCTGCTAGTCCCACTACTGCAACACCCACGGTCAGTAGCCCCCCTGAACCCCCAAAACCCAACTTTTGCCCTTTAAACCACCCCCCAAACCCAACCTTTGCCCCTGAAAGCCTGAAAGCCTATGAAGCCCTCTAAGCCCGACCTCAACTCTACAAGCCCCAAACCCTGAAGACAAAAAAACAAAAACAAGCAGCCTCCAAAGCCTGCCATCCCCAGAAATCCTAAACCCTAAACCCTATACCTTAAACCCTAACCCTAAACCTTAAACCTTAAACCCTAAACCCTACGTAGACCCTAAACCCTAAACCCTAACCCGGAAGCTTGTGTTGGGAAGTTGACCCCGGAATCTCCAAGTCAGGCCAAAGCAAAGCCGAAGCCCAAGGCAGGTCGTCCGAGGGTTGCTGGATTACGGCAGTTCAAGGGTTCCGGGTTTGAGGTTTAGGGTTTAGGGTTCGGCGTTTGAGGTTCAGGTTTTTAGGGTTTAGGGTTCAGGGTTTGAGGTTTAGGTTTTAAAGGGTTTAGTAATCTAAGGTTTAGAGTTCAGGGTTTGTGGTTTGGGCTTTTAGGGTTCCCTCCCCTATCGAGGCTGTGCTTCTGGGTCTCATTGTGAGTTGCTATGGGGTGAATGGGTTTCGTGCGGTTAATGTGATATTTGTGTGTAGGTGTTTAGAGGGCTTTTGTATGGGTTTAGGGGTTCAGGTTTGTGGCAAGAACCTACAAATAGGGTCTGTAAGCCTCCCTACGAGGATTGTTCAGAGGGTTTGTGTTTTTTTTTTGCGTGGCGTTCAGGATTTTTGGGCCCTTGGATTGGGGTTGAGGGTAATTAAACAGCATGACCAGGGTTTTAGTGTTTGGAGTTCGGGTCCAAGGGGTTCCACGGGAATTATTAGGGATCTAGAAGAGTATATAAGATATCTATGAGGATTTATATGGTATCTATGGGTACACGTTCTCAGAATTTGTAGCGAAGATGTTTCAGGGTTCAAAGCTTGAGAGCTTGGGAGCCCTGGCCGCTGGTAGCAAAGTGAAGAAGAATTCCCTAAGGGCCCATGTACCCAAAAAGAATATACATTGGCCTTAATGTAGTCCCTAAAAAGGTACTTTAGGGCCCATGTATATGCTATATGAATACATGGACCCTTAGGGATTGGCAAAGGAATCCTAACCCCGAAGGGTCCACGTACTCATATCGTATAGACTTTGGCCTTGAAGTAGTTCCTATTTAGGTCGTTTGGGGCCAAAGTATGTGCCATTTGGGTACATGGACCCTTAGGGAACAGCTGGTTACAAAGTTTGCCATATAGCAAAGTTCAATACCAGCCGTAGCGTGGCTACTCAGGTTTCTATAGTTCCTGCCCGGAGGCCGCATCCTCGTGACGATCGAGATTGAGGATGCAGCGACCAATGCAGTGAGGCGGTGAGTCCCTGCGGCGATCCTTACCTAGCTGAGGAGGATCTGTTTGTTGCAAAGCTGCTGTTCATCTTCTTCCCCATGGACTCGGATGCGGGTGGTTCTAGATTCTCGTTGAAACAATAGTTAAGGTGCTAGATGTTCAATAGCAGAGTGAAGAGCTGGTCTACTCCACAACGGCTTTGGACCTGTCTGCGCCGAAAATCGCGACGGTCCGTGGCAAAATCTCACGATGCCACACTTAGGATACACACCTGGTTTGGCCAACTCAAGGAGTGATTCGAAGCCTTTCACCGGCGATTTGCACATCAAGACCCAGTTGCAATGATGCTTGTCGAAAGTCCCCCATTCGAACCGCAAAATCAAAGCTGTCGTAGCCTCCTCGTCGTCAGTGGTCTCTGCACCCATACAACGCGTAGCGTAACCCTAAGGGTCCATGTACTCATATAGTATATACATTGGCCTTAATGTAGTTCCTATTTGGGTACTTTGGGGTCTTAGTATGTGCTATATGGGTACATGGACCCTTAGGGTAAGGATATCACAATGTTGCAGCGTCCATGCCTTTTCGGAGGATGCAGGGCCCGTTAACATGCCTAACCTTGAACGCTTAACCTTACCCTAACCGCGCAGGTACCTACTATATAGGGCCCTAGGGGCTCTAGTACCCTATATAGTAGGTACCTGGGGAGTTAGGGTTATAGCATCTTATAAGCGTATTTACCTGTAAACCCGATTCGGCTTCGAGTTCGTTGCCAAGCTTTCCTAAAGTCGCCTTTTGAGCTCCTTTTTTGGACTAGCCATTACCATGGTATGAGGAATATTGCATGACCCGAACTAACCATAAGAGCTAACCGCGGAATATCAATGGCTACTATACTTGTAGGTGAAGCTTGATGCAAGCATTGTCAAGCCTCTAGGCCTCATCTGCAACAGCCTAAACCCTAAACCCTAAACCCTAAACCCTAAACAGAACCACAAAACAAACGAATTCATTGGAACCCTCCGGTCAGGGTTCAGGTGTTGGGAGTTCGGGTCCTCCCTAGGAGATCGGGGAATGTAGGTGAGAAGGCTTGCCCTGTGTTTAGAATGTGAGGCTGCTCACCAGGACCCCCCAATGGCCCTTTAATAGAGCCCTTATGGTCCTTAAGAGTGGGTATTTAGGGTATAATAGAGGGTAGTTGGGGGGTGCTGCTTATTATAGCCTTACTTTGATTGGTAGGTCTGTCCTCGAAGAAGGCCACCCGATGTTGGGGACTCTCTGCTCATCTTCCACACCTCCTGACAGTTGTTGAAGAACCCCTCAGAAGCCTTACATTAGGGTTTAGGGTTTAGGGTTTAGGGTTTAGGAGAGCCCCTCATAAGCCTTACATTGCCTTAGATCCTAGAACTTATCCTGTGCATGACTTCAGTGCTCTCGGAAGGGGGCTGGACAGGGTTTGGGTTGTGCCTCATCCCCTCAAGTCTTAGTCAGAATCCTCGGGCCGACCTAAACTTCAAATCAGAACCCTAAGCCCTCAACCCTGAACCCTAAACCCTCAACCCTGAACCCTAAACCCTAAAACCTTAACCCCAAAACCTAAACCCCAAAACCCTAAACCCTAAACCCAAAACCCTAAACCATAAACCCTAAACCCTTCAGAGCAGGAGGCCCGGAGCCTCCACGCGCGAAATCACAGAAACGAATCCCGAAGCACAAGAACCCAGAAGATCCCTTTCACATAAGGGCCTAAACAATTATGTAGGGGTTTGGGTTTAGGGTTTAGGGTTTAGGGAATTACCTGTACTATTTTGGGGGTTCCTATTAATTATTGTTATATGGTATCATTTACCCCAAAACCCTATTCTGATTATGAAGGCCCCTGCATTACACAAACCTTATAGAAAGCGCTAAGAACCCCTAGGAGCAGCCCTAGGCCCTCGAACGCCTTATGTAACCCACATAGAAACCGGATTGTAGAAGCCTTGCAAAGAATACGAAAAAGGGTCTGAGACCCATATAAAGCCCTAATAGAAGCCTCGTAGAAAGGGCTGCCCCTTATGAAACCCTGATAGAAAACTTCTAGAAACCGTGTAGAAGCCCTTTTAAAGCCCTGCAAACTTATAGAAACCGTGTAGAAGCCCTTTTACAGCCCTTTTGCAGACCCTGCTGTTGGCCCTTTCAGCGCTCAAAATGGGAGTTTCCGAAAATTAGGGTTACCTTTTTTTGGTGTTCTTAGAATAAGGATTCTACTATTTAGGGTACTATATTAGGGTCCCCTGTTTTCGGAAACCCCCCCAAATGGGGAGTTGAGGGGGGTGCCGCAGCCGTGCCTCGAGCGAGGCCCTGCGCCCTGCAGACGCTGCAACTTCGAGCTTCCTAAACCCTACCTTAAGAACCCAAGCCCTAATATGGGATTTATAGGGGCCCTACAAAAAAGGTAGGTTTTGGGTTCTTAAGGTAGTGTAATCGGTTTAGGGTTTAGGGTTTAGGGTTTAGGGGCCTCAATAAGTGGAATAGGGTTCCTTTGATGGGGGGGTTCATTTACAGGGCTGCTATGAGGGTTATTCTAAGGGTATCGGAGCCTTAATTGCGGGGTAGTTTTGCTATGACTGTATTACGGAAGACTATGGATAGATACTATGGAGATTCTGAAATCCAGAAACCCGTGTGATATAGGGGCAAGAAAAATTCGAACGGGAATTCGGGGTAATGATAGTATGCTATGACTACAACGACAGCAACCCTCAGGAAGAGTATTGCGAATTTCTCAGGTCCCGACATATTGTCAGCCCGGAAAGCAACTTATAACTATCCCCACACCCCTAAGTTCAGACCCTTGAAACCCCTCAAAGCCTGAGGCTTACAGACCAAGCTGGCCCTCGATGCTTGAACCCTAGACACATCCGATCCTCACGAGACGACAGATGCCGGAGCTGTCACGCCTGAACCTCAAACCTGTGTTCCGTGGGCCTTCGCCAAGGCCGAAACCCCTAAATTCCAAAGCCCGAAACCCTAAACCCCTAAACCCTACCCTAAACCCCTGAACCCCACCCAAACCCGAAGTCTAAATCCGAAAACGCACCCCATACAGTTCCCTACAGCTTCCTGCGGAAAGAAGGTGCCGGCATGGTGGGCTTGCAATCTGGATCTTTGACCGGCTCTAGGCAAGGCACTGTTCCTGTACTAATGTTCATGATATAAATCCTGCATCACCTTGAGGACCCTAAACTGGGGGAGCTATTCTGGTATATTCCTTATTTTGGGTAATACAGGAATTATATCATCAACCGTAGTAAGAGAGTTTCACTGTTGTGTCAAGGGGTCCCTGTATTTAGCCTCGGTTGTTCCCCTGTTAGCTATGTTTGAAGGTCCGCCTCGAGGGTTTAGAAGTTTTTTGTAGGGGCGTCAATAATTACGTATAGTATTTTTGGAGTTTAGGGTCTAGGGCTCCTTATAACTATAGTATAATGGGCCCCAAAACCCCATTCTAATCATTAAGGCCTCTATCTTAGGGACGTCGGAGTGTCGATGTAGAAGCTTGCCGCCGGACGCACCGGTCTGCTAGGCTACGAGAGGTGCAAGCTCCTTTCTATGGCATTAGGAGGTATGGCATCGTATAATTACAATAAGGAGCCCCCGAAGTAGTATATTATTCAGGCCCCTATAGAATGAAGTGGCATCGAAGGAGGGGCCGGAGCAGGAGCACACACAACAGCATCATGGGAGGGACAGGAATCGCGACGGCAAGCTTGTGCGAGGCCCAGTAGACTTACGACAAGCCTGCTTTGGTTGCTATCTTTTCCTATAACACATACTATTTCGTGCTAGACTCTACTGCTTATCAAGAATCTTGTTGTAGCATATCATTGCAGAGGCAGTGGTAGTGCCAAGCAGGCTGTTCGGAGACTTTGCTGCCGAATGCGGGCACAAGAGGCACGACTTCTCGCAACCGTGGGTGCCCTGGACGTACGCTTTGGGCTGTTGAAGTAAGATTCCCGGGAATCTGCAACACAGCCCAATGCATATCTATCATATAATATAAGAGATATGCATCGGACTGTATTGCAGATTCCGGGGCAAGGTTGCAGCTTAGGCGTGCTTCCCAGGGCTGCGGTTTCGAGCTCCGCTAAACGAGTATTTGATGCGCGACTACACATGAGGTCCCGTTTCTCGGCCCTACACCCAGGTCTAGCATCTCTTTGTTGTGCTGGAGGAACTTTTGTTCTGGCAGGGATCCTTGCTTTGATGATGCCGCCCTTCTGAGGCTTCAAACTTTAAGGCCCATAGAACCTGAACCCTGGCCCCCTAAACCCTAAAGTCCCTGAAGCACTGAGGCAGGTCTTGAGTGCCGATCAGCTCTTCCAGAGTGGCGCCAAGGGAGGTCCGGGAAGCCCTCAGGACCCTGCGGAGTGAAGAGTTCGGTAGTTTCTTAATGTGAACCCTAATATATTGGGGTTATAGGGCCGGGGTTTCTCAATCAGGTTCCTACATTAGTGTCCACTTCGAAGTTTCCGTGAAGGGCCTATGGGGGCGAATGGGTTTTTGTAAGGGTTTTAGGCAGTGGGTCAGGGATTGAGGATTTAGGGTTTTGGAATTCAGGGCTGTGGTTTCAGGGTTTGTCTAGAGCTTTAGATTTCGAAGTTGAGCAGATGCGTTCTCTGAAGTTTCGTTAACCTGCCTGCCTGCCCGTCTGCCTCCCTGTCTGTCTGTCTGTCTGTCTGTCTGTCTGTCTGTCTGTCTGTCTAGAAAGATAGATAGCTAGCCAGATACATGGAAACATGGACTGCTAGTTAGTTACATAGATACAGAGATTGCCAAAGATAGATAGATAGATAGATAGATAGCTAGATAGATAGGTAGGTAGATAGATAGATAGATAGATAGAGACAGATATCGATACTGTACTCCAGTAGAAGATGAATCTCTGTTGCCTGGCCGCGGAGCGACTAGGAAAGGTCCGGTTCGAGCTCATAGTCTTCTCCCTTTTTTCCCCTCTCCGCTCCCAAACACAAGTTTACACTAAGAAGAGCATGGACACCAGAACGTGACCAGCACAGACTACCCTCCTTTGAAAAGGCCGCGAGTTGGAATTTCCGTGTTGGTTTGGACAGGCAAATGTCGCTTGAATACATGCTCCGTCGCTTTCGGGTGTAGACAAACTCAGCCGCACTTCACATGGTTGTATTGCAGACAGCTATATGATATATGTAGATTCCACAGCAGTGTTCGTTTCAGGATTTGCAAACACCAAACACCCTAAACCCTAAACCCCAAGCCTCCAGCAAAGTTGCCAAACACGGAGCATGAATGCCTGCACCCTGCACGCATTAGACTCCTCTAACCCTGAACCTAACACTACCAAGAGTCTCCATTTCCTTTTTTGGTGAACCAAGCTTAGGGGTAGGGTCCTATAGGATACAATCGGTTAACCAGAACACGAATAGCAATGGAGACTATAGGTTAGCCACCCGAAATACATTACATATTATACCATCTTGAATTGCCTATATTCCCCCCCCCCCCCCCC